GTTTAACTAATGCTCCCGCCACATTTATGGATTTAATGAATAGAGTGTTCCGACAGTTGATCCGCGGAACTCTCAGATGTTATTACATGGAAGCGGGTCCACACGCTCTTTATTTCTACACCTTCTCGAGAGTGGTATCTCTTTGGGTTTTCATGTAAGTAATTTTCACATGGTGAAAAATAGGAGTTTTTCTGCTTCTCCCTTACTTATACGATGAAATTTGATTTAATTCCTCGCGTACGAGGTGAATTGTGAATTTGCACACAAGCTTTGTAAAATGTTGGATTTTACGGGAGCATGCATGAAGACATTAAATTACTATAAACCAGATGCTAAGTGATTTCGATGGTAGGAATCTTTCCATGATTTGGTTTGATATTTGATTTAAATGATTATTTAGCATAAACTTATATTTTCATATAAGGCACAAAACCTCCCTTTTTCCTCTGAGTTAAATGCTTTACATATTATTCTTATATTTTTAATATTCAAATCTTCTACCTTTTGCTTGTTTCCCATTTACGCCCTACTCACGGAGTTGATGATTATTGAGTCTGTGAGACTCATCCCCCTTATTTTCTTTTGCAGATAAGTAATCCGTTCTAGTGCACTATTCAGCACCTCGAGATTTGGCTACAACCTAGGTAATGGCATCTTTTAGACTTCTACTCCGAGTAGCTCCGCTGCCTAGAGGTTGAGTTGTGTTGAATAGTTAGGCTTATAATGATTAATAGTTTATTGGTAATGTATGTGCTAAAGCTTAAGGTTATGTAATGATTAATACATATCATGTTGAATTTGTATGGAATTATCAACCTAGTTATTAGTGTCTAGAAGCCACGTTTAAATATTGTGAATATCTAGTTTACATGAATTATGGCGTTAAAATTGTAAATTGAGTTTAAATTGTTTGAGGGTTTAACTAAGGCTTGTTCGAGATTTGATGGGTACATTCGTAAGTCTCAGACGGCAGTAACGATCAGGGGAAAAAAGTCTTTACATGGGGCTTAACATAATATGTGAAAACGTAAACAAGTTTATTAATGTTATTTACATAACAGAGTTCATTACCAATAAGACAGTTCAAAACTAGACTAAACTTATTGTAAAGTGTACGCCATTAGAAGGTTAGAAAAAAGGCTCTACCACACGTACCATGAATGAGTTTTTCCACTACTCCACAAGTCATCTAATGAAGCAAGCTACTAATCAAAAACAAAATAAGGGAAAATAACATGCGAGTCTTAAAGACTCCATTTGTGGGAAGGGAACAAGCCAAGGGGGAAGAGTTTTGTAATAAGCCGTAATTTGCAAAATATCATGATAAACATATAAATCCTTTCAACTGTCATGAATGCATTTAATAACGTTAAATGCATAAAAGTAATATCCATATACTAGCTCAACTTACAAACATTTGCAAAGAGATGACTGAAGGTAAACCTTGACCTTCAAGCTCAACAACAAACATTTAAATCAAGAATGTGTAATTCATTTAACAACTCATCTCATTATTTCCATACAAACACAATAATTATCAATTGACAAACGCAAGCTTCGCAGTACCCAATATACAAATAACACATCAATACATGCCATAGCAAATTAAGGTGACAATGGGAACTATCACCTAACTCATTCTTGTGGTATTCTCACCCACATACCGAGATTCATAAAGAGGGAAAAAATAGTATGGTGTCCAACTTAACCCTATGGTAATCTTACTCACATATCCAGACTAGAGCCAATATACAAAATCATGGGAAATGCAAACTTACTCAATCCACTTTACAACAAAATCATGGGGAGTGGAGACCTACTTAATTCACTTTACCACAGAATCATGGGAAATGGAGACATACTCAATCCGCTTTACAACGCAATCATGGGAATATGGAGACCTTCTCAATCCATATCACAACACCCATCATCAAAATGTGGAGACCTTTTCAATCCATGTTCACAATACTCACATGCAAGAGCAATTCAATCAACCACAATCATTATCTCAACTAATATCTCATACCCATACTAGCTCAAAGGCCAGAGTGATTGAGGAAATTGTTCAAAACATTAAAAAGGCTTGTCCCTCCTTGTTGAAAACTACTACATAGTAGGATATTTAGTTATACATAATAGTTTTGAAAACCATTTCAAAATATTTTCTCATCCACAAACATATTTTTCCTTAATCAAATATTTATGGCCATAATGCTCATAGAAAATCCAATAAATCATGTAATCATGCTTTCTACTTTACATATTCAAATAGTTTCAAAAGTGGTGTACTCACTCACCTCGAAAGTTGATTTCTACCAAGTATGCGAAAGTTTACTCCAATGAAATTTTCACAGTTTTAATGGTTCTAAAATACCCAAATAAATATTTTTTGTTAATACTTAGTCTAGGAAATGCAAAATAATCGTTTTGTGCTACTCCGAACTATTTGGGTTCGCCAAAACTAATTTTTTAGACTAAATTACTACTCATCAAAACACCCATTTGTACAAACCCATAAAATCAATATTTTTACCTTAAGTGAATTATAGCAAGTGAGAAACTCCACCAAAATCCTCTAGTTCACAAACATCAATAATGCTGGAATAAGAAACCATATTTTCAAAATAAAAAAATCCAAGGTTTAAAGATTCAACAGTGGGAGAAATCTTATTTTTCATTTAAAAAGCCAAAAACAAGCTCAAATCTTTCAAAAAAGGTGATTTTGAGCAAAAATGGTTTGGAAAAGCTTAAGAGTTAGGTTTTTACCTTCAAAATGCAGTTGAGGGTTGCTAACTCTTAGAAAATGTGGTATATTTATAAGCTAGTGTGTGAAAATACATTTTTACCCCTTTTATTTTTTTTGAAATCGACAAAATGTATGGATATATTGGTCTATGTATCAATCTATTTAGTTCTGGAAAAAAATGTGTTGATACATTATGTACATGTATCTATATATGTTCATTAGAAATGCTTTCTAAGATAAATGTATAGATACATTATGAACATGTATTGATACATTTGAGATAGAATGCAGTTTCTAAGATAGATTGCATATAAAACTGACCCAACTTATTTACATTAAATGTTCTCTTTACTTTTTACTCTCCATTTACTTAAGATATTTAATGTAAATCAGCAAACAAGCCCCCATTTGGATTCAATAAAAAAAATCAAGAAAATGAAAATCTAAAACAATCAAAATCTAAATTTTGGTTTCAATAACAAAATAAAAAAACTTTAACTGAAATTAAATTTGCAACTCCCATTTACTATAGCAAATGTACACCAAAAATTATGAAAAAATCATTTTTGGTCATCTAAAAATCAAGGGAATCATTATTGCCCTTTTTTTATTTCCAAAGATTATTCTATAAAAATCATATATTTTGACTCCTTTAAAATTTAAAAAATTTTCTACTTCAAAAGTGACAGACAAGCAAAAGTGTCAATGAATTCTTTTGAAAGGTGAAACTAATTTTCATTGTTATTTGTAATCTATATGCTCATTTACGGATTTCTTAACTTATTTTCTTACTCAAGATGGGATTTCACACATAATCACCCTCATGCTTTTTTTGAGAATGCAAGCTCAATATCACTTAATGATCTTGTGTATTATTTGAGAAAGCATCAATTAACTTACTTAAAGTGCTTGACTCAAATTATTTGGTATTATTTTATTTCAATTTAGTGTTTAAGAAATTCTCA